CATCTTAAAAACCCGTTTAATAAAGTCTACTGGGCGAAAGTTACCCTTTAAAAAAAAAAAAAAAAAAAAAAAAAAAAGTAAAGGCTGAGCCAGACCACTCTTTCTGCTGATCCTCTGACTACACACAAAAAAGACATTCACAAGAAGCTTCCATGCTTTTATATTAATAAAATCTTAATACTTTCTTTAAACCAACTTGAAAAAACTTCAAGAGTCACCACTACTTCTCTTCCTTCTTGTTAATACTCCTCTTCAAATAAAAACTTGATTGCTAGTGACCAGAAAGTCAAGCAATACCTTTCTTACCAAGGCAAGAAAGTTCTGAAAGAAAGAAAAACTAATGTACAGTCATCTCACACTATAGAGAAACAATACAGAAGTGTGTTGCTAATAAGAGACAACTTTTCTACTCTTCCGTTATCTGATTAATTCTTATAGTGCTCATTCTTAGTTTTTTCTGGGGAATTTTGCATATCTCAGTTTGACCCTGAATTTTGAGTAGCATAAAGTTTCTCATACCATGATTGAACAGATAGAACTCATATTAGTAAAAGAAGTAAACAAGCTTATATTGGTCATCTCACATGTCTGAATGCATTTTCTCGGTTTTATAAGAACCTAGAGTCCACCATAAGTCACTTGATATAGATGTGAGTGGATACAAGACAAGCAAATCTCCTACATTGGTGGCATCTTGGAAAGAGAACTGTTGGAATAGGATCCATTGGATAGACAACAAAAATCTTTTCTTCCTTTCTCTCTCCAACAGATATAACAACACCTAGGACAGTATCTTTTTGAAGAGATTTGATACTCTCACTATCTCTCATTATATACTGATATATTCTTTGAACACAATCACCTCTTTAAAAATTTTTTCTTTGGAATGACATGTCTCACTTAAGCACTTGCATTAGGGGAAATTTAGAAGAATCAATGAGTCTTCTTTCTCAGTGTGTGAATTAAATTGATCCAAGTTATTCTCCTTGATAACAAGTTATCTCGTGGGTTGAAGTGGTTAAAATTTTACAATATGAAGATACTGAAAGCAGCCGAGGAACAGACAATACACTCTCGACTAACAAAGCCCTCTAAGAGTAACCAGCTTATGAAATCAAAGTAGTAGTATTAACATAAAATTTTAACTCTTATGGACAACTTTAGAAATGTTTTATTAATGATTATTTCTTGTATTTATATTTTGCACTGACTTGAAAGTTTAATAAAACAAGACTAAGTTGTTATTTCAATTCACAAAAATAAAGGCTGAGTTGATAATTAAAAAAAATATATATATATATATATATATAAATTTAACTTTTTAAAAATAATATTAGTATATCGGGAGTTACATAACAAGACTAAAAAGCTATATAAGAACCTGGAATCTATCGTTAATCATCTTCTTCTGCATAGGTGGATACAAAATCAAGATCAAAAGAAAGGAAGTATTGAGCAAAACATTGGATCTAAGTAGGTGATAAGTACCCCAAATAATCACAAGAAAATAATCAAGAGCATGGATAGATAAATTCCTCAAACAGTTAGAAAGAAGAAGAATATCCTAGAAGAATTGACTTCTAATAAGAAGAGGTTTTTAGCAAGGTCCTTTGAAGAATATGGAGTACTTTTATTTTTTCTTTTTCTTTATTTATTTTTATGTAGCAAAATTGTGCATTTTTAGATATTCCCTTTTCTTTTTTTTTTCCCTTTTTCCTTTTATAGTTTCTCGAATTCAATTTCTTGGAAAATAATAAGCAGAAACAATTTGCTGGCAATGATGAATAAGTTAGGAAGGTCTTTATCCAAAACTTGATCCAGAGTGAAATATTGTTTCCAAGGTTGCACTTAGAGGCTGAAGCTTTTTTGAGAATTGAAAGCCATTGATAAGTGAGTTAGCATGAATTTTAGATTAGCCATAATGCAATTGTTCTATGTATCTCTATCGATTTTCATATTGATTAATAAATACATGGTGCTGGCCTGATCCTGAGTTTAAAAAAAAAAAAAAGTAAAAATGTACTGATATTATAAAAAAAAACAAATAAGATGTGAAAAATCTCATATGATATTAGCACATTTCAAACTTTGTCTATTGCATATTGATATTATTTTATGATTTTATGTGAAGTCAAGATATGAAAAAAAAGGAAAAAAGAAAGTTAACTGAAAAGAAAATTTTACAAAATAGAAAAAAGTGAAAAAGAAAATTGTAATATTAATAAAAAAACTATCTACTGTAGATTACATATAATCTTTTTGGTTAAAGAATAATTCAAGTTAATAAAGGAAGCAAAATATTATTTCCAAATTGCATCTAAATTTAAATAACAGGTGATTACTAATATAATAATTCTTTTAACTATGTCCACCTTTATTAGCTAATACTGTAGATATTTTTAACGCTCTAGATTTTATTATAATCGTGTAACCTCTGTACCACTATATAATAGATCTTGAGAATACGCTAAGTTCAGAACAAGTATCACTATGGATAATTATCCGCCCGAGTTCATCCTCCACCATGTTCCCTTGATGATGGTTATTGGTCTAGGTACCAATAGAGATTTGAATGAGCATGTTACTACGTCGCCAGCCTCACCTTCGAGTCCCCAGTCTACACACTCGAGACAAAATTCTACTGGAACGACTACCGTGTCCTCGAAGCAGTTATCAAAGACTTTACTGACCTTGCTGACAGCAAAAAGTCAAGCTGGTGTATGGGAACTTGGGAAAAGTGCAAGTACCAATTTTCATGCGGTGGCTGTTGATAAGGTTTGTATATCGAGAATTATACAGAAATAAAATTTCCAGCGATTTTAATTTAAATCCATCGCTTTTATTTAGTCATGTACTGATTATTGAATGAGAATGTTCAAGAGTGTCGTAAGAATCATTCGTTTACACGCGGAAATCAATTGATTGGGGTATATTGACCAAAATTAACTTGAAAATTATTGCGAAAATTCCCTTAACCAGAGAAAAAAAGAAATCAAAAATCAAATGAGTATATTAGTTATTAAACATTTAGTTCTTTTCTATTGTGTAGAATCATCAATTCCCACCTCGCAAGCCTGCGATGCGACCTTCACAAACCCCACACCATTCCACCATTCCTGCGCATTCTCCTCTTTCACCTTACACTCCTGGTTCTCCCGTGCATCCCGATGGTTTGATTCCAGCGATATGGGTCAGAAAACATCGTGAAATTATACCAAGTGTTGTCGTGGGATTTTATGATTTATGGCATAGGTCAATGGTCACTACAACAAAGGAAAAAGATGAACTTACATTGCAGGAGCCTTTGGGTTCTTTGGAACCCATTGAAAAAGAGAAGGACTCTAACTTGGCGTTGGAAATTAATGAAAAAAGGTTCAATATAAATGATTTTATTGGTCAATATATTCTATATTCCTTTTACAATAAATCACATATACTTATTTTTACAATTCAGAAAATCTTTGCACGAGAGGGGTATTAGATTCGCTGCTGTAATTATTCTTAGGACGCAACACATGGGTCAGTTAAATTTTCAAGTTTGTCAAAAAGCTTTTATTAAGCCTAACCAATTTTTTCTTTATTATCTTTGTTATTAGAAGAACAGATGACCGAGGAGAGATTAGGAAATATTCGAAAAGCAAGTGGCCTCGACGCGAAAAATTGCTTCATGGTGTTGACCCCTAGTGCACATGTGGACCTGCCCGAATATGTATCAAAGTATTTATGATTAAATTTGTAATAATTTGATTGCTTTAAAATATTTTAAAGTACTAAAACTTGCGTTCTTATCATTTAAGTATACAAAAAGCACTTTATGAACATGGTTTGAATTATTATCGTGAGCACGGAAAGCGAGTTAAACGAAAGCGATCAAAAATACCCTCACCTTCCACTGTAAATTATTCTAGTTCCACGAAAGAATATATATCTCAAGAATCCCAACCTCTAAGCGTACAAGGCTGGATGATTCGCTACGATTACAAGATGGCGACTTTTGCAGAATTTCGTCAAGAGATGGATGCCGCAATAAAGTAAAAATTTTCAGGAATTATTTCCTTGTATTCATTACTATTGGCTTTATTAATTGTATAATTCTTCTACATATAGTTATTACTCATCTTGCTACAATCTTCTTGTGGACTTATTTGCTCCTCAATCGTCAATAACACCTGGTGCACCAGGCTTAACTTTACGTAGCAAGCGGTGGAACGAAGCTCGAGTATTAGCTGATTGTATAAATTTAAAGGTTTTGAGAAATATCACGATTAGGCATTAACTCTTATATGTATCTAACTGTAAAAACATTCCACTTTCTTGAATAGATATGCAAATTAAATTTATATATTGATGCCCCATCGGCTGCGTTAGTGCAATTAAACAAGCACGTTAATACTTTTAATAAATTGTGCAATTTGCTGGGAATTGGCGAAGACACGTTCGAATACTGGTCTTGGTTATCTAAACAATATCGTATTTTCGGAGACGTGTTAGAAATTGCTACAAGATCAGGATTTATCATACCCGATCCGTCAACATTGAACCACAGTACATCGTCTACCGATAATAGGTTTTCGTCAAATAATAATATTTCTAGTACAGGAATTAATCCTTCTGTAACCCTCCAGCATCCTGGTTTTTACTATTATTTGGCTGCAAAATATAATTCTATGAAAAGGAAAAAGTTCTTGGAATTGGAGAAGGTGCGTCAAGGTTAATCTCATTCCAAAATATTCATCGTCTGTTATATGATTTCCTGATTTTACAGAACTTTCAGAGAATTGACAATTCGAAGATTCCACCTTCTGTCATCGATGCCGAGAGAAATGTAGAACATTCGACGTTCACCATTGAGCTTCTGACAAAAAGTTACGAACAATTCAAAAAACAAAAAACTGGACGCATGACGCTTTATCTTGCTTCTGAAATAGCCGAGACATATTTTGAAGCGGAGAAATATGATATGGCGTTAAAGTAAAGGCTACTTGTGGTATTCTTTTCTTTAAAAAAAGAAAAAGTTTATTATTCATATTAAAATTTTTTTTCTTATATTTCAGGTTTTTTGAACGCATTGCCAAAACTTATCGCAAGGAAAATTGGCATATTATTCTTGAATCAATCTTACGCTGGTCTTTAAAGTGCTCCAGAGAACTTAACACTTATGACAATGTCATAGAATATTATATTGAACTGTTGTCAGATAGTGAGTTTCACTTCACCGTTAACATAATGAAGGAAATCAATGGTCTGTCGTGTTTTAATTTTTTTATTACTGCTATTACTTAGAGTTTAAAATGGAAGAGCAGAAGCGTATCGAAATTCAAAACGAATTAATAGGCATAATTTATGAAGTAAGTTTTTAAAAATTATGTAGTGAATTATTTATTCGGGTAAAGATTTTATAGTTTTCTTTTCATAGAATGAAATTTCAAGTTCAATGTCTCCTCGCCACGTTGTTATTGATATGAATGAGATAAATTCATTTTGTATCCTCTTCACCTATCGGAGTCATTTTTCCTTATTTCAATTCCTAAGCCCTTGACTTGCAATACATTGATTCAATAGTGAACTGTCACGTACAATATATGAGTCCTGGGACATTCGTTGGAACGCCAACATTTTTCCAGGTCACTTTTTCATCGCCGTCCAGCACACCTCCGCTTCCATTGCGATTCTCATTCCTTCGTTTTTCATTTAATGATTCCTATTTCAATTATTATCTGACTGATAATGGACAAGACGAAGCCCTTAGCGATAATTTTCAATGGATCGATTGTAAAGATTGTTCCAGAGAAGAAAAAGAGGGAGAAGGACACGTATGGGTAAAAAAGACGGATTTATTGATATCAAGAGGTACCTCTAAGGTCTTCGAAGGCGTGATTGTACCTAAAGAGAGCGGTGAATTACAGGTATTTAATTTTCTATGTAGGTTTTTTTTTTTTTTTTTACTCTTTTGTAACGTGTTAATATTTGATTCCGATTTTTTTTAGCTTCAGGTCGTTACCCTTGGATTAATATCCGCAAATTGGGAAGTGGATCTTCGCTTTGATGTTAATTCCTTTCGCGATGAGACTTTAAAACGTAAATGGCTTAAACTAGATACCAACGTTGATGGTAAGCAGGGTATGCTGTGTGACATAAATGCTAATTTGATTAATACTTACTTATTTAATAAAAATTTTAGCTCCGAAGCTAAAGTTTGTAAACTTGGAAGGAAATGGTGAATTCTCCTCAATCAAGTATGTTATATATTTGCTTTTATAATCGTTTATGAAGAATGTTTTCTAAAATCTCTGACTTAATTCGAATAAGCATAGTGTACAACAAATTTAATCCTTTTTATAAATTATCAGAATAACTCAAAAGCAGGCAAAACTTGATATAAAGGCTAAACACTTAGCGCCGGCCTTTCTAGATGAGTATTATCCTATCGAACTGACGATAGTCAACATGGAGTCCGAAGATGTCAAGGCCATTTTCAATGCAGAACTCGTTTCAGAGATTCACGGTGTGTTTTAAAAATTTTCTCAATACTTGATCTTTAATGACTTATATTCAACGATCTGCTTTATTCGTTTTTTTCAGAGTTAGAGGATCGAGTGGTCTTGGATTATAATAGCAGTGGAGCGTCTTATTTGAAAGATATAGATTTTGGTGTAATTCCTGCCAACGGGTCATTCGTAAAAACCGTTTACGTATTGGGGAAAAAGCATTTGGGAATTAGGACTCTCAATTTAGTTGTAAGTTACATGTATAGGATCACATTAAATTTATTCGGTTATTGATTATTCTTCCCGATAGATTTGGTATTCTTTTATTTCGTCATCACCCCGAGCTTCCTCCTCGGCGCAAGATTGGATCGAGAAAAGAAAAGATATTAGGATACCATTTATCGCACCATTTTCCGTGGCGTTTAATATTTCTTCATTAGGTGAGGAGTTTGGACAAGATAATCTTTCACAGAACAAGTCTTCATATGAAAGGATAGAACGGTATCTTCTAGTTGCGAAGATTTCTAGTATCGGTCCATGGGACATTGAAGTATCTGCGATAGATTTAGTGCTGGTGAGCTCTTTTTTTTTTGCGAATATTGTCAACTATGTTGGGTTTTTTTTTTGTAATTTTAACTATTTCCTGTAGTTCGGTCAAGCAAACGCTCAAACTAAGATCGAAATAATTGCGTCATCTACAGAATTGGATAATGAATCTTTGAAACAATGTAATTTTCCTGATTTGATTAGTTCTCTACATGAAAACAACCCTATTTATATGATTTTCTTGTCTAACAGTATGGCGACCAAGATACATTTTTAATGCGAACTATTTATTGGAACTGAAAATTTTGGATGACAACTTTTCAGAGCAAAGTGTAGACCTAGGGTTGCTTGATATTCAATGGAGAAGGTAGGTAAAAGTATTTCGAGAATCTTGAAACGACCGTAATAGACATCATTGGCATCAAATTCCTTTAGGAAACAATCAATTGAAAATGTCGACATACCATTCGTCGTGGCAACATTGATGGCACCTCAACTTCAACGACACAAATCGGACTTGTCTGCCATTATAGGTATGATTTTAAAAGGACCTAGGAAATCGTTGCAAGAATCTCACCTGGATTATGTTTTCTAGATATTCCTCCGAATCCCGTTGTTGGAAAAATTTTCACACTTACCTATAGAATTATAAATTGGTCTTCAGTACCCATTGAAATATATGTTTCGGTTGAAGTCAATGACGCTTTCGTGTTTTCTGGTTATAAACAGACACACTTTAATGTTGGATCTTTCTCAACTTATTTTTTTAAAGTAAATTGCTTCCCGCTTGTTCCAGGAAAAGTTCGATTGCCGAGAGCAAAAATTACACGAATTCGTGAACCAGATAGAGTTGGACATGAGGTTCCCATCACTTCGCCTGGATACAAAGAGCCACATGAAGATGATTGGTATATGGTTTTTATCAAACCAAAAAAAGTATTATTTAAAGAGATGGATGAGGCATAAGGTCGATTGGTTGGTTGCTGACTTAAAGAATTTAATTGCTACCTTCGTATTATCTATTCTTTGATTTTTTTAAAAAAATGGGTTCTTAATTTCAGGCTTGGTATTGCAACATATTCCATTTCTGTGTTTCAATATTAGGCCACGTCTATTAACATATTTATATTAAATTAATAATTGCTCTTGTATTATGTTCGATAAGAATAAAAAGTTTCAAATTATGGCATCACTTTAATTGGAAATAGTTTTGGTTATAATTATCTTTTTATTCAAATTTGCAATAAATAAAAAATTTTAATAATATTTCAATAAAAAAAAAAATTTTTTTTTAACTTGCAATCAGATTTATTGTAAAACACACAACTTTAAGAATTTATATAACTTTTTCATATTGACATAAGAAATAATATTTATTTCTTTTATGATTTGGGATATCTTCAAAAATTTTTTTTTTAATCTTTTTTTTTTTTAATTTGCAGTCAGGTCAATATGGCATATCTTTATTGTATATACTATATACTAAATATTTACAAAATATTGTAACTTTTACATACTAACTCATTTGTCATCAAAAAACTATTTTTTAAATATAACTTAGAGAATAATATTTTGTTTCTTTATTAATTTGGATAAGTCCTTAAATTAGTTTTTTTTTTTTTTTTTTTAACCCACAGTCAGATCAGCATGACGTGTCTTTATTGTATATATGCTAGGTATTTACAAATTATTGTGACTGTCACATACTGACTCACTCATCATCGAAAAGTTATTTCTCTAAATGCAACCTAGGGAATGATATTTCATTCCTTTACTAATTTGGATAATTCCTCTAATTAATAAAATCATTGCCTACAGATCATTATTATAGATCATTCTAAGTTCTATCTGTAGTTAAAAACCAAACCACTTTATTTCGTGACAAACCCAATCTTTAATAATCACCGTATACTTTTTTCCTTCCATTTTTTTGATGTCCTCCAGGTTCAAATCCTTTGGAAGTAATAGCAATTCTTTTTGGTCCTGTTCGATCTGTTTATCAAGATTGAGCTTGGGCCTCTTGTTTCTTTTGTCCTCTTCTATAATATTTTACTTCTTTTTCCATTCTATAACTTTGACATAGTATATATTTCAAATCTTCTTTTTAAAATTTGCTCTTATCTTTTGACAGAGTTTACTGATTATATCTTGTGTATTTGCTGATAGGATCTTGAGCTGATCTTGGAGATACTTCTTTAAAAAGGTGGTCTTGCTTTCTTCTATATATTCCCAGATGGTATTAAAAAGACCCTTGTCAGATTCCTGAATCTCTTCTAACTATTTGTCTATCCAGTCACTTATTTTAGGTTGAATTTCTTTTATATGTTTAATTTCTTTATCAATAGTTTATTAATCTTTTCATTTACCTTCTGCCATAAGTTCCTCCAAGTTTCCCTAGTGACTAAGCATTCAAAAAGATGTCTTAGTGTCTCTTCTTGAAGTTCGCATGCTAGGCAAGTGATTATGATATACACTTTTGGTTTCCTCTTCTTAAGTATCTGTAGAACTGGAAGTTCATTGTGAGTTAAATTAGTTAGACAGCTTTTGTCTTTATTGGTTTTGAAAGAGGTATCGAAAGCATTGGTTGGATTGAACTGATTTCAAAAAATTGTCCAGTCTATATTTTTAGTATTTTGGATTCAAAGATTCTGGATCTATTTCTTTGTTATCTAGTCTAATCTAATCTTTTTATCTTTTTCTTGTTGAATATTTTAACAAAATCTCTGATATCAATTTTTATTATGTATTCTCCTCATACTGCTATTGTAAGAACTCTTCCTAGCTCTGATAGCTGATGCCAAGTTATTGGGTTCTTCTACCTGGCCTGTTTGACAAGTAAGTCTACTTGATTGTTGAATCTGTTGGTTCTATGGGTTTTGATCTTTAGGATTTCCAGATTCTGGTCTTTCTTCTTTACTAGATCTTTAATCTTAATCCAAAGTAACCAGTTGGTGATCTTTGTCCATCTTCTTATAGATGTCTTTATTTATGAGCAGATGGATTTTCATACTTTGACTGCAGTATTACAGTCAGTGTAAATTGTAACTGTTATATTTCGGGGGGCTGTATACAGTGTAATGAGAATAGCTAGTATTTTAGCTCTAATTGCTGATAGCCATGTGAATGCTCCTGCTAAGAACTGTTTAACTATTTTGTCTTCCTCTATCATGATCCAAGCTAAACCCATTTCAAATTTATCATCTATTATTCCTTTTTTATAAGAGCCATCTATGTAGAATGTAAGCTGATCAGCCGTATTCTTTTTGTTATATTTCAAGGTACTCTTAAGTTCATCTTTGTATTCTTCTGTTTGTATGGCTTTTTCTATTAATGTGATATCCCAGTCTTCCACTTGAATCTCTACTTCAGCTGGTCTGGAAATTGGTAGAGTCACTATTTATTGAAATATATTTGTTTGCCAATCTATAGGATTTCCTGGCAGAAGGATTTGTTTCCTTTTTTTTAGATTATTATGTCAATTAAGCTGTGGGAGAAGGTAAATCTGTGACAAGACTACTTCTACTGGCTGCTTTGTGCTATCTGGTTGAAGATGAGTATTATTACTAGTAGGATCATATACTAGCTGATATGGGGTGAAATAGGTTTTGTTGTTTAT